GAGAGACAGACAGAGAGACAGACAGAGAGACAGACAGAGAGACAGACAGAGAGACAGACAGAGAGACAGACAGAGAGACAGACAGAGAGACAGACAGAGAGACAGACAGAGAGACAGACAGAGAGACAGACAGACAGAGACAGACAGACAGAGACAGACAGACAGGGACAGACAGACAGAGACAGACAGACAGACAGACAGACAGACAGACAGACAGACAGACAGACAGACAAATTAGGTTTTACGACTCACTATTCTCTTCCATTTCCTGACATCTTGTATCCACCAAATGGAGTATTGGCTTTAACAGCACCCCAGCAGTTGACCCTGTGAAAATGTTCATTATTATACATCACTGTAACGTCATAAGTTACAATGTGCGGTAATTTTTGGTATTGCACTATGTATTTTCATACATACTCTCCAAGTGCACACTTTTTGGTATCCTTGTAATAACCAAATATGATTAGTACCGTAATCATTTCTCAGACATGTGCATTTGAACTGATTAATATTTTAACTTTACTTACCACACAGATCCTGCTTGCAGTGCATTGGAAATGGTCAATGCTTTATCAATATCCTTAGTAAATACACCAGCAGCAAGTCCATATGATGTATTGTTAGCTCGTTCAATCACTTCTTCAATGGTCTTAAATTTCATAATTTGCTGAACTGGACCAAATATCTTTAAAAAAAGGTATTAAACCAAAAAATGCATTCATTGCAAGCTAGTTCAAGAAAGTTTACTTTATTATGATCATAAGTGCAAGACAATCAATTCTGATACTACTGGATACTTTCTTATTTGAATGTACTTAGTATTTGAAATTTAAATAATCTGTTTGCAAATTCTTTGTGATCAAGCATGAAGTTTAATAAAATTTCAAAGTTTAAAATCAAATCAGAATCTGAGCAACTTAAACAAACCTCTTCTTTGGCAATCCTCATATCATCGTTCACATCTGAGAATACAGTGCTCTCAACAAAGTATCCTTTATCACCATGACGACCACCTCCGCATTCAAGTTTTGCACCTTCTTTTTTCCCACTCTCAATTAGTTCAAATATCTTGTCAAACTGCTCATTATCAATCTGAAATCAACAATACATACAAATTTAATTCTTAATAATTTTCAATATGATATTAACTTATAATATTTTGGTACGTTTAACGTTGGGAGGAAAGTCATCATTTATTGTCACCAGTCATTTGAAACTGAATGATGTGCCAGATTTACATGTCTGAAAGTTTTGTCACTATCTTTTCAAATTGGTGAAGTTTGAACAATAAAATGGCTCACTAAACTTTGTTCAATATTTTATTCCAAATGGACTGGAATGAAAAATTGATGAAAATACGATGGAAGAAATATTAGGGGTACCCCAAACTCATTTTTAAATAAAGTTAATTTTCCAATTCAAAATAGATGCCAAAGTAAGGTTTAATGATGCCTGTGAATTATAAAGCCATTGTTTTTCAAATTTGTGTACTCCCAATTTTTATAATTTATATCACGAAATATTTCTCTTGCAAAATGTCGTGTGCTTTTAAAATTACCAAATTTTTTACTTGTTAGACATGTTTACTGGCTCTGATATACTTTGTGAGCTTGCCCTTTCAATGGGCCATTTGCTTTCATAGCAGAACAAAACTGACATCAAAACAGCACTGAGTTGTTGTGCCTTAACCCTCTATGCCAGGCTTTTTTTTAGCTTTTTTTAAGCTTGGCTGAATTTTAGCTTGAATCTTGATTCATAAATCTTCTGGTTAATTTTCTATCGACTACGGGTTTTAATTAACATTTTTGAAAAAATATGAAAAAATTATGGATTTTTTTTAGAAGTTGACTTTCTGAATTGAATGACATTTCAACCCTCTCAATGTAATACCTGTGGCCCAGACTCTGTAGTGGTATCAAATGGATTACCAATAACGCGTTTTTTGGCACGTTCTACACTTTTCTTGACAAATTCTGGATAAATATCTTCCTGTACAAAAGTACGTGATCCAGCACAACACACTTGGCCCATGTTACCAAACAACGCCTGGTGAGATTCTTCCACTGCAAAGTCCACTACACAAGATTACAAAAGATTGCCGATCAGAAGGATTACAAGTTGTAATTTAGTCATACTGTTCACAATAAATTAATTATAAGAATGTATCATATTAATCATAATAATTCCTGGCGAGCGAGCACACCCAAGCAGTTTATTGATTTACTAAAAATAGAATCGACGTATCCATAGAACGTCAAAGCGTATGAACTGTGTCAGTCTAGTTATTAGTTCACGCACGATTCTTGTGTCAAAACTGATGACTAGAAACACTATCAAAATTTAAAATATTGTCAGTTCGTTGTAAAAACATGATTGCCTTTTCATTGAACAAATTTCTAAAGATGCTTTCTTGGCGTAATTTGTGAAACAAACAAAATGGCACCACCCATTAACCAGAAGTGCACAGTTTTACAACTTGTAGGTTATAAAGATATCTTCCATACATATACATATATTGTATTATGTTAAAAATTGCATAATTTTGAATGTCAGTGTCCTTGCAAATGCCGTATCATCTTTAATTCAAGAACATTTCTATGGGTGAAAAATATGATCTACCATGTCTGTTAATTTCTTAACCCATCTAGGACAAATGTAAACACATACTTACTGTCAACATCTGAGAGGACTATGTTTGGACTTTTTCCTCCCAGTTCCAAAGTTACTCGCTTCAAATTAGATTTGGCAGCTGCTATCTGGATGATTCTTCCAACCTATTATGATATCAAAACATGTATATCCATTTCATGCAGTATTCAATAATTTGGTTGTTGATGACAAAATAGATATCAATTCCAATTACAGGTCTCAAGAAATAATTGTGAATTTATTTCATGAAAGGTGACAAAAGTTTGATATCACAAAGTTAATGTATCGATTCCAACTTGCATGGAACAACACTGAGATTTGGTTCTTTTGTACGACTTGATTGGAATTGTTACTATTCATTGTATTCATTTTGATATAATAGTCTGAACAAGAAAAGATTGATTTATTGTTTATGTATCATATAAGTAAGGCTATCACTATTTTAAGCAATATTCATTTTTTTTCAAAACAAACCTTGCAAAATTTTTTTCTAAAAACATACATTGCTTTATTTTTTTTTCAAAACATGCATTGCAAAATTTTATTTTCAAAACGTGCATTGCAAAA